GATAGGAAACGGCCCGCGAAATTGGACCTAGAACACAGACATGGGATCACGGGATTTTAGCCAAACTCCTACGTTTAGGCCTCCGAATAATTAATTTCCGTATTAATTATGTCGGGTTGAAGAAGTGCTGGACAGAAAATTAACAAAGATAAACCAGGGGCGATTTTGTCATTTGTCGTGACGGTGTCGGAATGGGCCGAAATTTGGCAGGTTGATTAGAAAAGACCCGCAAAATTGGAGTCGGGGCTCAGACCCGGGATGACAGGATTTTACCCAAATTCCTTTGTTTGGGCCTCCAAATAATTAACTTCCTTATTAATTATGTCAGGTTGAAGAAGTGTTGGATGGAAAATTAACAAAGAAAAACCGCACCTGGGGCAATTTTGTCATTTATCGCGATGGTGTCAAAATGGGTCGAAATTTGGCAGGTTACTTGGAAACGGCCCGCGAAATTGGTCTCCGGACACAGATCCGGGATCATGGGATTTTAGTAAAATTCCTTTGTTTGGGCCTTCGATTAATTAATTTTCGTATTAATTATGTTAGGTTGAAGAAGTGCTAGACAGAATATTAACAAAGAAAAATCGCACCATGGGCAATTTTGTCATTTGTCGCGACGGTGTCGAAATGGGCCAAAATTTGGCTGGTTGATTAGAAATGGCCCTTGAAACTGGACTTGGGGCATAGACTCGGGATCACGAGATTTTAGCCAAAATCCTTCATTTGGGCCTCCGAATAATTAATTTCTATATTAATTATTCAGGTTGAAGAAGTGCTGGCCTGAAAATTAACAAAAAAATCGCACCATGGGCAATTTTGTCATTTGTCGCGACGGTGTCAGAATGGGCCAAATTTGGCAGGTTGATTGGAAATAGCCCACGAAATTGGACTCAGAGCACAAACCCGAGATGACGGGATTTTAGCCAAACTCCTTCGTTTGGGCCTACGAATAATTAATTTTCGTATTAATTATGTCAGGTTAAAAAAGTGCTGGACAGAAAATTAACAAAGAAAAACCGCACCTGGGGCAATTTTGTCATTTATCGCGATGGTGTCAAAATGGGTCGAAATTTGGCAGGTTACTTGGAAACGGCCCGCGAAATTGGTCTTCGGACACAGATCCGGGATCACGGGATTTTAACGAAATTCCTTTGTTTGGGCCTTCGATTAATTAATTTCCGTATTAATTATGTTAGGTTGAAGAAGTGCTGGACAGAAAATTAACAGAGAAAAATCGCACCATGGGCAATTTTGTCATTTGTCGCGACGGTGTCGAAATGGGCCAAAATTTGGCTGGTTGATTAGAAATGGCCCTTGAAACTGGACTTGGGGCATAGACTCGGGATCACGAGATTTTAGCCAAAATCCTTCATTTGGGCCTCCGAATAATTAATTTCTATATTAATTATTCAGGTTGAAGAAGTGCTGGCCTGAAAATTAACAAAAAAATCGCACCATGGGCAATTTTGTCATTTGTCGCGACGGTGTCAGAATGGGCCAAATTTGGCAGTTGATTGGAAATGGCCCATGAAATTGGACTCAGAGCACAAACCCGAGATCACGAGATTTTAGCCAAACTCCTTCATTTGGGCCTCCGAATAATTAATTTTCGTATTAATTATGTCAGGTTGAAAAAGTGCTGGACAGAAAATTAACAAAGAAAAATCACACCAGGGGCAATTTTGTCATTTGTCGCGACGGTATCGGAATGGGCCGAAATTTGGCAAGTTGATTGGAAATGGCCCTTGAAATTGGACTCAGAGCACAAACCCGGGATCACGGGATTTTAGCCAAATTCCTTTGTTTGGGCCTCCGAATAATTAATTTCCGTATTAATTATGTCAGGTTGAAGAAGTGCTGGACAAAAAATTTACAAAGAAAAACCGAACTAGGGGCGATTTTGTCATTTGTCGTGGTTTATTATGGTTTAGGTAAAGCATCTATGTCCAACTAAATCAACCTATCAAAAGTAGGAAACAACTTATTTAATCATAATGTCAAACTCAATTCTAGTGCGCTTGTAATATCAAATTTTTACAAGGTTGAGCTTCAATTAGTGTAGCATGCATCCTATCCACAGTTCATAAGTGAACACTAAATCTCAAATCAAATCATCATTGTCTGCCAGATTGTCTAACCCACACAAGCACACATATGAACAAAAGAGATTTTTTTTAAATTTAATATCTATATATATATATATTTTCAAACAAACACACAAAAACATATCACCCCCAAACTTAAAACTGACACTGTCCTCAATTTCATAAAGCATAAATAAACACATAAAGGGGGTAGGGAAGAAAAAAAGGAAGGTACTCCCCAAATTTTTCTGTTGAATGTGTGAGGCACTATGTGTAATGGCTGGATAATATTTTCATCATACTTTCTCTTGGATCTATGTTGGTTTGAGTGTTCCACGATGTCATATTCCTAAAAAATAAAATTTGACTAATGAAATACAGGGAACAAGGGTTTACTTAGCTCAAACAATCAAAATAACCAAAAATAAATTAAAGGGCCTGAGGGCATAAAAGATATGGGTGATGACTCCTAGAAATTTAAACGTGCCTAAATCTAATGCAACCCAGTAAACAAAACAAAACTGTATGCTATGCGATACAATAAGCAAAATAAAAAAGTTTGAAAATTGGGTTGCCTCCCATTAAGCGCTTCTTTTAAGTCATTAGCTGGACTTTGTGCTGCTATTATTCTGGTACAGCTAGGTCAAGGCTCTCTTTAGCGGTGGGGAAATCTTCCACGTAGTGCTTGATACGTTGGCCATTTACTTTGAAGTTTCCCTTTGTTGGATGGTGTAATTCAACTGTGCCATAGGGAAACACTTGAGAGACCGTGAAAGGGCCTGACCATCTAGATTTCAATTTTCCTGGAAATAGTTTAAGTCTGGAATTGTATAAAAGCACTTGATCTCCCACTCAAAAAATTCTTTGCCTGATGTTCTTGTCATGCCATTGCATCGTCCTTTCCTTGTAAATGGCTGCATTCTCATATGCTTCTCTTCTGAATTCTTCCAATTCATGTAGCTGCAGTATTCTTATTTCTCCAGCCTTTTCGAGGTCCATGTTTAACTGCTTCAATGCCCAGTATGCTCTATGTTCAAACTCCACTGGTAGGTGACATGCTTTTCCAAAGACTAGTCGATATGGGGACATCCCAATAGGTGTCTTGTACGCAGTACGATATGCCCATAAAGCATCGTCTAATTTCTTTGATCAATCATTGCGAGATGCATTCACAGTGAGCTCCAGAATTCTTTTCAACTGTCTGTTCGAGGTTTCTACCTATCCACTTGTCTGAGGGTGGTAAGGAGTGGCAATTCGATGTTGTACCCCGTACTTATGTAGCACTGCCTGGAATAATCAATTGCGAAAATGAGTTCCACCATCACTGATTATGGCCCTAGGTGATCCATAGCGGTTAAAGATGTTTTTCTTTATGAAGTCCACCACTACTCTCGCGTCATTTGTAGGCAATGCTTTGGCTTCTACCCATTTAGAGACATAATCCACTGCCACTAGGATGTACAGATTGTTGTAAGATGATGGAAAGGTACCATAAAATCAATCCCCCAGACATCAAATATTTCCACCTCCAAAACGTTGTTAAATGGCATCTCGTGACGCGCTGATATGTTACCTGTTCTTTGACATTTATCACATGATCTGCAAAAACTGTGGCAATCCTTGAATAATGTAGGCCAAAAGAAACAACATTGAAGCACCTTTGCTGCTATTTTAGTGGGGCCAAAGTGTCCTCCATAAGCCGATGCATGAACCCGTGAAATGATAGGTTTCATCTCATCCTCTGGCACACATCTCCTAATGATCTGGTCTGCCCCTCTTCTATATAAATTTGGATCATCCCAATAATAAAATTTCGCTTCATGAATCAACTTCTTTTTCTAGTGATAGGTGAGATCAGGATCCATATAGCCACTAGCTAAGTAATTAACAATGTCTGCATACCATGCAGCCTTTTCTATCTGCAATAACTACTCATCTGGGAAGACCTCATTAATATCCACATCATTTGAATCACAGAGTTGCTCTAGCCTTGATAAATGATCTGCTACCTAATTTTCTGTACCCTTTTTGTCGCGAATTTCAATGTCAAACTCTTGCAGTAACAAAACCCATCGAATCAGCTTGGGTTTAGCATCCTTCTTCTCAAACATATATTTCAATGCTGCATGGTCAGTGTAGACTATCACCTTTGAACCAATCAGATAGGAACGAAATTTGTCAAAGGCAAAGACCATTTCTAGCATCTCTTTTTCCGTTGTTGCGTAGTTGATCTGAGCATTCGTCAAGGTTTTGCTGGCATAGTAGATTACATGTAACACTTTGCCTTTACGTTGGCCAAGCATCGCTCCCACTGCAAAATCACTAGCATCACATATAAGTTCGAAAGGTAGATCCCAATCAGGTGCTACTATTACAGATGCCGAAGTTAACTTTTTCTTTCAAAGTGTTAAAGGCATTGAAGCACTCATCAGAAAAGTGAAATGGCACATCCTTCTCCAATAGATTACACAAAGGTTTTGTAATTTTTGAGAAATCTTTAATGAACCTTCTGTAAAACCCTACATGTCCTAAGAAGCTCTTGATCCCCTTAACTGAATTAGGAGGCTGTAATTTTTCAATCACTTGTATTTTGGCTTTGTCAACTTCAATTCCCTTTGAGGAAATCCTGTGGCCCAGCACTATCCCCTCTCTTACCATGAAATGACATTTTTCCCAATTTAGCACTAGGTTCTTCTCTTCACATCTTTGCAATACAAGAGTCAACCGATCCAAGCAATCATCGAATGAATCTCCAAACACAAAAAAATCATCCATGAATACCTCATTGTATTTTTCCACCATATCAGAAAATATGGCCATCATGCACCTTTGAAAGGTTGCGGGTGCACTGCATAAACCAAAAGGCATCCTTCTAAACGCAAAAGTTCCATAGGGACATGTGAAGGTTGTTTTCTCCTAGTCTTCTGGAGCAATAACTATTTGATTGCACCCAGAATATCTATCCAGAAAGCAGTAATGAGAATGACCGGCCAACCTCTCTAACATTTGATCAATGAATGGCAATGGAAAATGATCCTTTCTGGTTGCGTTGTTTAGCTTTCTGTAATCCATACATACTCTCCACCCTGTTACTAACAGTGTTGGTATCAGCTCGTTGTTCTCGATCTTCTCCATTGTGATTCCACCCTTTTTTGGCACAACATGAACTGGGCTCACCCATGAACTATCAGAGATTGGATAGATAATAACTGTATCCAACAATTTCAACACTTCTTTTCGCACTACTTCTTTCAAGGTTGGATTTAATCTACGTTGTGCTTCCACTGATGGCTTTGATCCATCATCCATTAAAATCTTATGCATACAAAGTGTTGGACTTATTCCTCTAATGTCAGCTATTGTCCATCCAATTGCCGTTTTGTGCTGCTTGAGTACCTCCAACAATTTATTCTCCTCTTCCATTGTCATATCATTTGTAATGATTACTGGAAGTGTTGTAGATTCTCCTAAATATGCATAACGGAGATGTGAAGGCAAGGGCTTTAGTTCAAGAGTGGGTACCTTTTCTACTGAAGGTACTTGGGGTGAAGGATTGTCACCAAGACATTCATACTGCCAATGTCTTCTTCCTATTGGTTGCTTCGCTAAATTGACAATACATTCAGTTTTTTCTGCACTTGCTGCTCCAGATTGTGTAATTTTTCTTCACAAAGAATTTTTTGATGCTCTGTCTCAAATGTATCTACCACCAACTTTCCAAGAACGTCTACTTGGCAGCAGGTGTCTGAAGTCAGTGGATGTTTCATCGCCTTAAACATGTTGAATATGACTTGCTCATTGTCCACCCGAAGAATCATCTATCCATCATAAACATCAATCAGCACTCTTTTGGTAGCCAAGAAGGGTCTTCCTAAGATTAGAGGGATGTTTGAATCTTCATCCATGTCCAAAATGATGAAATCAGCCGGAAAAATAAATTTATCAACTTTGACTAGCACATCTTCAATAATCCCCTTCGGTCGTTTGATCGATCTGTCGGCCAATTGCAAAGAGATGGTTGTAGGTTTTGCTTCTCCTAATCCAAGAGACTTGTAAACAGAGAGGGGCATCAAATTAACACTGGCACCTAAATCACATAACGAATGCTCAAAATAGTTAGAACCAATAGTGCAAGGTATCGTAAAACTCCCTGGGTCATTTAGTTTAGGAGGTAGCTTTTTCAATAGAATTGCACTGCACTCCTCGTTTAGACAGACAGTCTCATGTTCTTTCATCTTCCTTTTGTTAGACAGAATCTCCTTCAAGAATTTTGCATAACTGGGCATTTGGGCTATTGCATCTGCGAACGGAATATTGATGTGCAGTTTCTTGAAAATCTCCACAAACTTTGCAAACTATTTGTCCAACTTCTTTCTCTGTAACCTTTGAGGGAAGGGAATTGGTGGCACATAAGCTTTCACGGGGGTGGGTGCTCTCACTGTGGATGTTTCTTTCCTTTTATCCTCCTCGTTAGTTGGTTGTTCAGACTCTACTTTTGTCCCAGCCTCTTCATCCATTATTTCTTTGTCTTTTGTATTTGTTCTCTTCACATGTATCTCTGGAAGTTGCACTCTACTTCTAGTTGTAATAGCTTGCACTTGCTCCTTTGGATTGACCATTGTGTTGCCTGGCAACGTCCTTTGTGGGCGTTCTGCAAGCTGTTGAGCTATTTGACCAATTTGAGTTTCCAACTTCTTAATAGATGCTTGCTGATTCTAAAAGTTAGTGTCAATCTATTGGAACACCTTGTCTGTCTTCTGCATGTACTGGTTGAACATCTTCCCCAAATTTGGTCTTTTCTCTGGCTGGTTATTGTTTGAACTGCTCCCTTGCTGATTATTCGACCATCTGAAGTTTGGGTGTTGTCTTCATCCTGGGTTAAATGTCGGTGAAAAGAGATTAAAATTTCGAGAGCCATTTTGAATGAAGTTGATTTGTTCCTCTAGAAAGCCTAAAGATGTGCAATTTTCTATTAGATGATTAGCTCCGCAGTTTTCACACGATGGACCGGCTATCACTGCATGTGCTCCTTTTGTTTGTGACTTCACCAATAACTCCACTTGTTTTATCAATGCTGCTATTTGGGCGTTGGTCGACGCTGAGCTGTCTACTTTGTCTATTCCCATTGCTTTTGGAGGCACCACTCTTTCTGATGAAATCATGGAATGAGTTGTAGCAATCAACTCAAAGAGATCCATACATTGTTGGACTGATTTCCCTATGATCGATCTGCCTGCAGAGGAATCTACTTGAGATTTGGATAATGATGAAAGTCCCATGTAGAAATACTGCACTTGATTTCAAATAGTGATCCCATGATTTGGACACTTCCTCATCAACTCCTTAAACATATTCCATGCTTCTTGATAGCTCTCCCCATCTCTCTGTTGAAAAGTTTGAATTTCCAGTCTGATTTTCGCTACCTTAGCTGGTGGAAAGAACTTATTGCAGAATTTCCTAGTCAATTCCTCCCATGTGGTAATGCTTCTATCCGGTTCAGCATCTAGCCATTCCAATGCTGCATCTCTTAGTGTATATGGGAATAATCGCAGCTTGATGGCATCCTCATTAACCCCGGGAGCATGACAATTCTGGCAATTTCGGAGAAACCTTGAGATATGCATGTTTGGATTCTCATGAGGTAACCCGTAGAATTGCAGAGTGTTGCTCATCAAATTAATCCAATCAGCTCGTATTTGAAAGTTGTTTACCCCAAATTCTGGATATACTATGCTGGACCGCGCGAGTGCTGCTATAGGCGTAAAAAACATAGACACTGGCAAGTCCCCTTCATTTACTTCTCTTTGCTCTTACTGTTGATTTCTCGTGGCCATTTGTCCAATTGGCTGTATAGGGATAGGGTTATTTAAATTGTCAGCCATTTAATGCTGATGTTTTTGTTTGTGTTCCCTGCGTCTTCGTCTGAAGGTACGTTCTATTTTCGAATCAAACGGTTCAAGATCTTTGTCTTGGGCACGGAGCATACAACGAACACTCTTTTCTTTTTCTTTTTTGTAAATAAAAGAAAATAAATAAGTATAAAAATTTAAAATTTAAAATAGAAAAAATAGATTAAGACTAAAAGTAATAGTCCCCGGCAACGGCGCCAAAAACTTGTTGTCAATTTTATCCCGCAAGTGGACGGATCGTAACAAGTAGTAAAGTGGACCTTTTGAGTCCGGATTATCGTTCCCACGAGGACTATATTTTAGTACTTAATTTATTATTCCTAACTTCTATTTAATGAAAATAAATAAATAAATAGAAATTGAATGTGATTTTTAAATCTAAATACTAGAAATTTTGTGAGTGCAACAGAAAATTAGTGAGAATTCAATTAATAAATGGGAATTAGGGCGGAACAATTTCACCTATTGATCACATTTATTTCTAATATCGAGATTCATAAACTAAAGTAATGTTCGGTCGAATTCTTCTATTATATTCAACTTACCCCTCTCGAGTTCTCGTTGAGCCTATTTAATTAGTTCAATTCCTTATCTCTATGCGAATTAAATTTAATTAAACAAAATAACAGTTCTAAAAATTCCTAGATGACCGCAGCAATTAATATAGGTATCTCTACACGTTATATTAATTTACCGAATTTTAATATGTGGTCTAAACAAGAATCCGCATCTCTATGTAATTATTGTTCACAAAATTATTGAATAATTTGCCAAATAATTCAAAGCATTAGAAATATAATTAAAATTCACACATAAGATATAAAAGAACAAGAATCTCAAATAGAAGAAATAAAGGTCCCAAATCAGTTACATTATTCGCCCTAAAATAAATTTAGCTAAACATATTAATGAAAGAAAAGCAAGATAAATTCATGGAAGACATCACCCGATTTATTGACGGAACGTGATTAAAGTTTTGGCACGTGAATCTCCGTCTTCTGTTGTCTTTTCTTTTATTTTTGTCTCCTGCGTCCTAGGGCTGGACAAAACTCCCGAACCGAACCGACCAAACCGAACCCGACGGTTCTTCTCAAGTTAAATACCCGAACGGGTATTTGAATCAGGAACCGACGGGTATGGTTCGGTTCTCGGTTCTAGGCCAAGACCCGAAGAACCGAATAAGAATCGAATCTTTGTAATTTTTTTAATTAATTTATTTTAAATAAGTAAATTATTTTATTTTTTCTAAATAAATTTGTTAACTAGTAAATTTAGTTCAAACCACAAAATATGATTTTCCTATTTCTAATATTCATTTCAAAATCAACTTAATCAAATTGACCTCAATTTTATCCAAATCTGTTATTCTACTGTAGTGTCGTTTCTACCGGAGAAAATTGAATTAAAACTCTACAACATCTTTCTTAATTATTTGAGCTCGTTATCTTTCTCTTTCTGTGATTTTAATAATCAAAATTATGAAGAATTCAGCAAAGAGAGACGTGAAACACATAAGATTGAACTACGTTATTTTGTAAGAGCTAATATTAAATATATCATTAATTAATTTAACGTAACTTTGTATATATTAAAAAATTTAATTATAATACGGAACCGAATAGAACCGAACCGGACCGAACTGAACCGAATAGAACCGAACCCGAACGGTTCCATAATTAAATTTGGACCCGACGGTTCCACTTACTAAATACCCGAAAATTTCGGGTCGGTTCGGTTCTCGTTAGAACCGAACCGAACCGGACCATGTCCAGCCCTACTGCGTCCCTCTCTTTTGTAATTCCAGCAACCAACTTCCCAAAGCTGCCGTGTGGAATATATGTATGTATATGAATTATGGCAGTCAAAATTTGAATCCCAAGAACTCCCCAAAACTGATGTTTTATGCGTATAGCTATTTAATTCAGCGAAAGGCAGCCTACAATTTCCTCTTCTCCGTTTCCTGTGCTATTATTAGAGCCGCAATAATTTACTCCCTAAAGCTGCAGTCCAATTTTCTCCCAGCCGGCTGTCCCTCTCAATTCTGACGCAGAAATTTATTTTCCCCAAAAAACTCTCTCCCAACGTTTTCTGTTGGTTGGTATGTATATATATATTATATATAAAAAAACCTAGGGCCACCCTAGTTGACCAAGAGAAGGATTCTCTCTCCAATTTCTTGGCTTGTAAGTGTTTTTCTATATAAAATAACTTAGCCTCTGCCTTTGTTGACTAAAGAAAACTCTAAAAAGACTCCAATTGCCTCATAATTATTCTTCAAGTCATTCCACTTCTAAGTTAATGCAATGTAGTCCTTGAGTTCCTCCATCGTGCAATCAACGTCCTCTTCAATTTTTCAAGTGTTGAATTTGGTCTTCAATATTGCATCCACTAGCCAATTTGTTCTTCATCCTTTTCCATTTGCTCCAAATGAGTCCATCACTAAAAACAAACTAAAATTAACTTAAGTTAAATAGAAATTAATAATTTGATGACATAAAAGCTTAATAAAATGGTCTAAAAAAGTGCATAATTTGTACTCATCACACAGACCCGGGATCACGGGATTTTAGTCAAATTCTTTCATTCGGGCCTCCGAATAATTAATTTCCTTATTAATTATGTCAAGTTGAAGAAGTGTGGGACAGAAAATTAACAAAGCAAAACCGCACCAGGGCTAATTTTTTCATTTTTCGCGACGGTGTCGGAATGGGTAGAAATTCGGCAGGTTGATTGGAAACGGCCAGCGAAATTGGACTCAGAGTACAGACCCAAGATCACGGGATTTTAGAGAACTTCTTCGTTTGGGCCTCCGAATAATTAATTTCCGTATTAATTATGTCAGTTTGAAGAAGTGTTGGACAGAAAATTAACAAAGAAAAACCGCACCGGGGGCAATTTTGTCATTTGTCACGACGGTGTCGGAATGGGCCGAACTTTGGCAGGTTGATTGGAAACGGCCTGCGAAATTGGACTCGGGGCACAGATCCAGGATCATGGGATTTTAGCCAAATTCCATCGTTTGGGCCTCCAAATAATTAATTTCCTTATTAATTATGTCAGGTTGAAGAAGTGCTGGACAGAAAATTAACAAAAAAAAACTGCACCAAGGGCAATTTTGTCATTTGTCGTGATGGTGTCGGAATGTGCTGAAATTTGGCTGGTCGATTTGAAACGGCCCGAGAAATTGGACACGGGGCAAAGACCCGAGATCACGGGATTTTAGCCAAATTCCTTCGTTTATGCCTCTGAATAATTAATTTTCCTATTAATTACGTCAGGTTGAAGAAGTGTTGGACAGAAAAATAACAAAGAAAAACCGCACCCGGGGCAATTTTGTCATTTTTCATGACGGTGTCGAAATGGGCCGAAATTTAACA